CGGGCCACGACCTGCTGGGCCGCAGCCGGAAGAGCGGCATTTCACTATGCGTGAAAAAAATAATAAATTAAGATATAAATCCATCAATTATTCAAATGAATGGCCATCAAGCACAAAAGGTATGGCAGAAAATGTAGCGGAAACATCAGTGTGTGAATGTCGCGCACTTGTTGGTGTGAACGACAGTTGGACACGTATGGAGTCACAAATGTGTGATTTTTTTAAAAAAGAAATTCAAACCTTTCCTCCCTTAGTGTACGAAGGGGCATATTCTCACACCTACAAGTACACACCTGCCGTTCCACTGAGAAGAAGTTAAAAAGAGAATTAGTTAAATATCCTTGTGTAGTATCACAGTAGATAAGTTATAACCGGTTATTAACAGTATTAGTTATTTGTGATTTTCTATTCAACTGGCGCAGTTTCAAATTATTCCACCGCTTTCTCACCGCCATCGTGTAGGTAGCGCTCCGGTTGACTGAACCCCTGCGCTAGCGAGTCATAAACACCGAATATATGGTGTGGATAAGGTCATTTCTCCGTCACACGCCGCCGCGGCCCCGGGCCCCGGGCCGGCCGGCCGCCAGGCGACCCGCGTGCCCTGGGAAATCAGGCCAGCCGGCCCAGAGGCCGGCCAGTGCTGCGGCGGCGGCGGCCAGCAGCAAGGCGCATTCCAAACCTCCTTTCGACGATTGCGCGATTTCTCATATCAAGCTGGGGTTTAAGCTGGCGGCTCTCCAGCTCCAGCACCAGCCCGATGCTGATCGCACCACGCCCAAGGGGTGGTCACCCCGTCACCCCTCATGCCGTCAATGCTTCAACCGATACAGCCGCAATAGTGGGCATTGCAGCACTGAATTTTGCCGACCATTGTCAGTAACAGTAATGTGCATTTTTCGAGCACTTGAACGTGTGGAAAGCCTGTCAAAGTGTGCACGTCAGGTGCAACACGACAACCAGCAGGTCACGCACTCTGTTGTGTTGGACAGGTACCGGTAAAACTGAGGTGTGACTTAACACCTTTCTCAGGGTGTTAAAGTTCTGAGGGCGAGACGACAATATAGTTTTCTTGAAACATTTACTGCTAGAGCGCAGGAATGTTGGCGGGGATTTTCATGTAGCAGTCAGATCGAAATTGTCGCGTGATGTCAC